AGCGGGGCCCGCGTCGGGGCGGCCGGGCGCCCCGTGCCAGCTCCTTCCGCGCCGCGCGGGGTTCCAGCTCGTCATCGCCCTGCTCCCCGGAGCCCCCAAGTCAGGAGCGCTTCCTCTGCGCACGGGCAGGTGTCTGTGTTTTCTGGGAACCATGTTTCCATGGTAAATAGCTTTTCAGACTCTCCAAAGGACAGACAGTGTCACCCACAGCAGAGTGGAGCCTCTGGCTGCCTCGTGTTTGAAAGCGTTAAAAATGAAGACAACATTGACATTTGGGGTTGTAATGTGACGGAATTACAGTCTTTTAAAGGCAAGAACCACTTATCTACACTACATGTAATATTCAGTGTTTTGTTCACTTGTCTAATTGGATTAAAATATTTAGCTCCCTTTAAAATCTTGATTGTGAATTTATATTGCTAAATGGAACGTCTGACTCAGGAAGCAATAAGTGGAACAAATGTATCCGAAGTCGTATACAATTCAGCTTAGTTTTCTCCCATGATTCTTCTGAAGAGATTCGCTCTGGGCCAGAGCGGGCTGCGCACAGCAGCGCAGCCTGACTTCAACAGAGCCCGTGCGCTTTCAGCATCAGTCGTGCGCGGGTCGCCTGGTGAAGAAACAGCGAAATGGCCTGCATTCGAGTTGGTGGCGAAGTTTCTCCGAGGGTCCCGAGGCCCTATGCTAGAACGCAGCACCTGGGGTCTTATGTCATTCCTTAAAACCACTCAGGCAGCAGGGAGTTAATGACATTTTAGCTGCATATGTTCAAGTTTATTTTAAAAAAATATGCAAGTCACTTTGGTTGACAGTGTCTTGTACACAGTTTTGAAAGAATCAGGGCAAACTTTAACAGAGTCAGTTTTTATTTGAAAAATATTTTCTGGGAATGTATCAGTGTTTATTTTTGAGACTGACAATTCGGGTGAAAATCAGTATAAAAACAACAAAACAACAATTTGGTGGAAATCAAATTGTTTGTTTTCATCTATTTAGAATTCTTTCCAAAAAAATCTTGGATCGGGAGGAGGCTTTGTGATTTATTTTATTCAGTGTATTTGCCGTTCTATTCAGGCACCACCTGTCTTGCAGGTAGCTAACTTTGTGGAAGCCCCGAAGTCAGCTGGGCGAAGCCCCGGGTCTCCAGGAAGGACCCAGCGCGGTGACCACCTGCAGTCACATCCGGGCCAGTGGGCCGCCCTCTCACAGCAGCTCCTCAGCCGGACTGAGGCTCCCTCCGCCCCTGCTCATGCAGAGGCCTCTCCTCCCCTCCGCAGTCTGTGTCTGTGCCTCCTGCTTGTTTTTCAGCTCCATTCTATGAGTCCTTTGGTGTAATGAGATAATGTCGATGATCTTGAATATAATCACATATGGCTGCTGGATCCATGCACAAGTTTAAATCAAATTAGAAAGTACATTCACTGCCAAGAATGCTTAAAAGTCATAGGGCCAACTGATTAACCACTGACAAGTCAGCTTCCGACTCTGTTTTCTAAACTGTAAGTGACTCATACGAAGGACCCAGGAGGGAATCCCTCCCCAGCCTGAACGGCAAGGACGAAGCGCAGCAGCCTGTGCAGGGCCTCGGCCGTCCGCACCGCGTCAGCCGCACGCGCTCATGACCAAATAAGCTCACCCTCGCCGGGTGTTTCCGGGGACGCTCTCCGTGGACAGACGCTGTCTGTTCTTTCCGCTGTCCCGGATGCCATTCTCCCCAGGAACAGAATCCTACTTCCTCACCAGCTGCCTCCACCCGTCCTGGGCAGATGTGAGGGCCCCCAGGCGCCTGGCTGGAGCCCCCGCCTCTGCTGCAAGCTGTCAGGCTTGGCCTGAGCCCTGGGGACCTGCAGGCCTCTCCCCAGAGGCTGCCCTGCGGCCAGCCCTGCCGAGGTTTCAGCCCCGGCAGCCAGATCCTATCTCCCAAGAGAGGGGCCAACAGCCTGGCCCTGTCTGTGTGTTCGTGGGGAGACTCAGTGTAACCCCACAGATCGCAGGGCGTGGTGGTCACAGCAAGCTGGGTCCGTGCTTCCCCGTCTCTGCTCTCTGGGAGGGCGGTTGTGGCCATCTCGTGACCTAAAAGCATTTTCTAGGAGTTTCCCCCACATAGCAAGGCAAGAGGCTCCAGCAGCCATGGTGTCTGTCAGTCCCGCACTGGGACAGGGCACCAGACCCGCTGGGGCTTGGGGTCCAGCCCGGAGCCCCCTGGGCGCAGGCTGGCCCACCGCGCACCAGCACTGTGGATGCTCGTGTCACCCGGGGGTGAGCAGGACTAGCTCGCTCCAGATGCACGGGTGTGTGGGTTTCACAACTGAAGCAGAAGCCGTTGGGAATAATCAAGCTTCTGAACCAGCCAGACACTTCCTGTCGGAGGCCACAGGCCGCCCTGAGCTGCTCCGGTGACCTCTGCTCAGGCAGCAGGCTCCGCACGAAGGAAGGAGTGGATTAGAGGGATGTGACTCAGCTTCAGAGCAGCTGCCGGGCCAGAAAATATCCATTCTCTTTTCAGTATTGAGTGGACAGAGATTTTTTAGAGTTTAACATGCAAAATTAAGCCATTATGCTTAATTCATCCAGACTGAGAAAATGGAAGCCTTTAGCTACACCAGCCCCAAACCGGAGATGAAGACAGCTGTAAACCTCAGATGCCCGAGAGCCAGGCCCAGAGGCCTGTCCCTGGGAAGGCGGCGTGGCCGAGGGCCAGGAGCCGCAGAGGGCAGCTTCCCGGAAATACCTGCCTGGGTCAACCTGGGCGGAGGGCAGAGCCGGCGCAGGGCCGGGCGGGGTGAGGGCAGCGCGAGCTCAGGTACCCGGCCGTGCTGCTACCTGCTGTGGAACGCAGACTCTTCCTCTACCAAATTTCTTTGTCGCGCTCATCTGAAAATAACTCCAAGTGTAATATGTGAATCTGAAAGGCCCCTTCAGAGCTGAGCCAGATGGGCTGGTATCAGATAGCTCAGGATGGGCAGATCACTTCTGTTCCTTCGAGCAAGGGAAGGAAGACCTGCTAGTTTTCCGCAGGGATTTTTTTTTTTTGAGGCTCAGGAGTTTTTAAAGATGCATTTTGCGCAAATGTTGTGATTCATGTGGCAGCGACCAGCTTTTCAAAGCCCAGGCAGAGGCCCCTAAGCGCCAGTGATCCGAGCTCGGATCGGACAGGGCCGCAGAGCAGGCAGCGGCGGGCGGAAGCAGAGGACCCTGGACCTCGCGCACGCTCGGAGCCCCTTCCGGCCCGAGGCCTCGGACTTTCTGAGTCCCGGAGGCCGGAAGTCGCTCGTGCCATGGGTCGGGGCCGCTCCGGCGTAAGGGAAAGGGGCCTCGCCGCCCGCCGAGAGACGCTGCCAGGCCAGGGCTTCCTCAGCTCCCGCCCCGCCCCTTCCCTGGGCAGTCATCTCCCGGGGCCCTCGCGATGGGGGAAGGAGGAGAAAGAGACCCCGACATTTCCTCAGGCTAAGTCCCTTGGACCCTCGTGGTGGTGCATCCCGCTTCCCACATCCCTTTCGCGATGCCCTCGGGCAGACGGGGAAACTGAGGCCCGGGAGACGTGCACGTGACTTGGCCAGGCCCTCGTGACAGTGTCGCTGTTTAGAATCAGTCTGGTCATTCTGGCCCCGACACTTGGGGGCTCCCAGACTTCACGTCCCCGCACGGGGTCTCCCGGGGGTCCCCGGGTCCCGTGCAGGGACGAGCCGCTGGCAGGCGCGGGCGCCCGGCGCGGTGGGGGGCCGGCCTGCCTCTGCGGTGCGGCCTCAGCTCGCCGCCAGCGCCCGGCTGTGCTGCTCTCGGGTGCAAACGAGCGCGCAGGGCCCTCGCGGCCGCGGGGCGGGGGCTCCTTGATGGCCTCGCGTCATCCTGAGAGGGGAAGACACTTTCTCAGCCTTTTCCCCTCCCAGGAACCGTCCGAGCACTGGCTGCGGGAACCCTGGGGCCTCGCCGAGCACCGCGGTGCAGTGCAGGTCCAGGCCGACGCCTCCCGCAGCCGCACGGCACCTCTGTGGGCTAAGAAGTGCTAGACTGGCAAAAAGCACAGCCTCGCGGACGGCCAGAGAGCAATTCAGAAGCAGAGTTTCACTCGGGCTCCAGGCGCACCTGGACTCTTCCCCCGATGATCTAACCAGGACGGGGAAGGCCTGGGCTGTTCAGTCAGACCTGGGTTCCATTTGTAGTATCCCTACTCCCTAGCTGCCTAGGTTTCTTTGAGCCTCAGTTTCCCTATCTGCAAAATGGAGACAATCACGTCAATCTGGCTGGCAAGAGAGCAAGGGTAGGCTCTCCGAGTGAGGCAGAAGCCGCTTCTGTCCGCTGAGCAGCTGCACCAGCTGCCGGGCTGTGGCCTGGCCGTGCTCCTGCAGCTTCGTGAGCCCCAGGAAGCGTGCGGGCCCCAGGAGCCCTCCTGACTCTCACCACCCGGTTCAGGAGGAGGCGCTAAGGGGGCCCACCTGTCCTTGCCAGGGCCGCCCTGCCTCCCCGACACCTGCAGTGCGCCCCAACGGCACCCCGGCCAGCGCCGCATGCCCAGTGTGGCCGGGTGACCCAGGGCCCGGGTCTGTTGGGGACCAGGCTCAGCTCAGGTCTCGGTGTCCCTTCCACACAAGGTGCCATCTCCGCTCCGAGCTGAGCGGACGCAGTGACACGGGGAACCCGGGGTGCACCCCAAATGGGAACCCATCTGCGCTCGCACCCTTTGCTGGGGCCCCCATACCTGGGCCCGCAGCCGGTCCACCTCTTCCGACAGGCTCTGTCTGTCCAGCAGAAGCTGGTTCTGTCTGCTAAGCAGCTGCACCAGCTGCCGGGCTGTGGCCTGGCCGTGCTCGTCCAGCTTCCTGAGCCTGGAGAAGAAGCGGGCGCAGAATTAGAGATGGGGACGGCCCCGGGGGCTCCGGGGAGCAGGTCAGCTCTTCGCCCCTGCGACAGGACAGCTGAGGTAGTCTAGGCGCAGGGCCAAAGGACATGACCCCTTCTGCCATGGTGCCCGGGCTTTCAGTCTGTGGCTTCCCTTCAGCCCAGTGGGGGGCGTGGGAGAGGAAGGCCTCCCCTCAGAGCGGGAGGCAGAGACGGGAAGGGACAGGGCCCCCTGCCCTGCCCCACCAAGGCCACACCCTGTCACCTAACTTCTCCCACCAAGCCCCACCTCCTAGTGGTGCCACCCACCCCTGGCAGTGCCTCAGCCGACACCAAGCATTCAACAAGCATTGCCCGAGCCCCAGGCAAGCTGCACACGCAGCAGGGCGCAGGGCGGCTCCGAGGGCACCCCGGGCTGGAGTCTAGGCCGCGGCTCCGGCTTCAGTGGGACCTCGGGACCCATTTGTTAAGCTGAATGGCCCTGGAGCAAATGTGAGCCTTCACAACAGGCTGCCCGTTAGAAAACGCACATGATTTGAGAACGGAGAGGGAAAACTACAGCAAAACTCACAGGCAGAGGTCAAAAGGAGAAGCCGTTGTCCAGCTGGACCGGCCCTGGCGGGCTGCGCAGACGGTGGAGAAGTGGGTTTCGGATGGAAACACTGATCTAAGGCTTTTCCATTATTAATCGCCCGTCAATCACAAGCACGGCCACTGCTGACCAGATGTCTTTAAAGATACCAAATTTGTCCCTGCTGATGGGCTCTCCCCGCCAGACCTGCTAATTCACTGAAACTATTGCCCTCATCTGTCCACGGCGGCTTCCTCCGGCCAGCCGCCCCTCACCCTGGCAACGTGGGCTTTGGCTTAACCTCAGCGGCACCCAGCCCTGTTAGCTGTGTGTCACCCACGCTGGCCTCAAACTCCTGGGCTCAGGCCGTCCTCCTCCTCCTCGGCCTTCCCGGAGCTGTGAGTACAGGCGCTGGCCACCGTGCTAGTTTTCAAGCCGACTCCAGCACTCCAGGAAGCTCCTCTCGGTAGTTTCTGCGCTCTCTGCGGCCGTGCCCCCTCGCTTGGAGTAGCCTCTCCCGTCACTCCACACGGATCTGATTCTAAGCTCCACCAAGACCTACGTTCATGATGTCAACTGCCCATGGCTTTGACGACCCCGGCTGGGAACAGCCAACATTTGCTGAGTCCCAGGGCTTATTGATTGCCCAGTTAAAAGTTCACCACAATCCTCTCAGGACCTTCGAGCATCACCACCCCCATTTTACAGATGAGAAAACTGTGCCTGATGGGTTAACCTGCACGAGTCTTGGAAGAGCATGGTGTCGAATCCAGGCAGTGCCTGGGTGGTTTCCCCACAGAGGTCATTCACCAAACCCACCTACCCATGGCAAACACTTCTCAAGGGCCAAGCACCGTGTCAGTCAGCTTCCTGTCGCTGAGACCAAGACCTGAGCTAAATTAAAAGGATGCAAGGTTTATCTCGCTCGGTTTTGGAGGTTTCAGTCCATGGCGCTGCTTGCCTTGGGCCTGCGCAATCCCTCACAGTGGTGCTGTGGGGCAGCTGCTCGCCTCATGCAGCAGAGAGAGGAAAAGCACCGGCCCCAGGACCCCTTCCAGGGCCTCCTTGTGGCCCAGCTTCCTTCCATAGGCCCCACCTCCTGAAAGTGCTATCACCCCCCACTAGCGCTGCGGGCCTGCGACCTAGGCCTGTAGGAAACACCTAGGGTCCAAATCAGAAAAAAGCACAAAGGTAGCCAACTGCAGGAGTTACAGATGGCTGCCCTCGAGGCATTCTCGGCCCCTTGAGGACAGACTGACAGTGCCAGAGCTGCCCAACAGGGGCTAAATTTAAACAGTAGGTGAAGGCATAAAGAGGAAGGTGCTGGGTGTGGTGGTGCACACCTGTAACCCCAGCATTCAGGAGGCTGAGGCAGGAGGATCGTTGTGAGTTTGAGGCCAGCCTGGGCTACAAAGAGGAAGGACCAACACAGCGAAGGTCTGCAAAGGCTCGGCCTACTCAGGAGGAAGCTGTCCCCGTCTCCACACCCTGGACACTCACTATGCGCAGGGCAAGCGCTGAGCAATTTATTACCTTTAGTGCCCACAGCAGTTCCATGAGGCAGCCAGGCACTAATTATTATCTCTGTTTTAAGGATGGGACACTGAGGCACAGACGGGATAAATGACCAGCCCAAAGCCACCCAGCTGGCAAGCTGGGGTGTGAAGAGATGAGCGGGTGCTGGTCTGGCGGGGCTTGGGGCTGTGAAGGGGTGGGCTGGGGAGTTGGGAAACTTCGTTTGTACCGTGGGCCGGGCGAGAGGCTGTGGGCCAGCAGGGCAAGGGAACGCTAGGCCCAGGGGAGCTAGGAGCCCAACTCACAAACAGACTCTGTCCTGCTGGCCAGGAGGCACCTTACCCGGAGAAGACGGGAGGAGCGGCAGGCCTGGGTCAGGGCACATCCAGGGAGCCTGTGGGACACAGCTACGCCGCTTCCGGGCCGAGGCGTGGCTAGGCTGCAGTCCAGCTGTGCAGGCCAAGCCTGCCGGGAGGCGGAGTGGGTCTAGGGCAGGGATTTCCTCCCCGGGGAGAGTCCCTGGGGTTCCACTGCCTGCAGCTCTGGAGCTCCCACAGCCTCCCCGTGAGAACCTCTGCTGCAGTGGGTGGGCTGAGGGCCCATAGGTCCCGGCCTTACTGAGCAGCCGCATGGGAGGCCTGGGAAACCACAGGGAAGCTGGCGTGGGGACAGACGACTCAGGAGGGAGGAGGAAAAGCTAGAGAAGCTGACAGGGGAGGAGGAGCTGCCTGTGTGAAATCCCACCTCAGCACACGAAGGTGGGCAAGGGGCTGTTATGGGCAGGATCCGGGCTGAGGGGACAGCAGCCACAGGGAGAGCAGAGGACAGGAGCGACTGAGCCGGGGCAGGCAGCTCTGAAGGAGAGGGGACCACAAGGCAGAAGACGGCGGATTCCTGGGGAGCAGGTGCCTCCGGCAGGTGACGGGCTCAGTATCCCCTCTGGTTGAGGCAGGACCATTTGCAGAGAAAAAGTGCAAGACCCCAGCTGGGGCTGAGCTAGGAAGGCGCAGGGCATCTCAGCCCCACCTCCTGGCCACTCTGCCCTCCGGCTCCTCCGGTGTTGCTCCTCCGGGTCTCCCCAGGGTGGGGCGCGCCCGTTCAGTGGCCGGCTCTCAGCGTCACTGTCATTTTGAGAGACTGCACTTCCCCATTCTGTTCATGTTTCTTGTTCTTAGCTGTGTCCCTTCCACGGCATTAAAGTGTGGATGTGACGAGCGGCACTGACCTCCTGGGGCCTGCGCTGGGTGTGAGAGCTGCACCCCAGAAGAAGCCCCAGGCAGCGTGCAGACCACACAAGGGCTCCCTGCCACGGGACCGGGGCAGAACCCTGAGATTTCAAAGTTCAGCCCCTGATTTAGACCCTGCCCCCGGCCTGCATCTCATCGCTGCCCAGCATGGCTTCCTCTGCGCTTCCAGCCCCTCCAGGGACTACTTGGTGTGCACGGCCTCTGCCCTGCACAGTCATGCGCGCAGGTGCCTGTGAGCTCTGCTGCTGTCCTAGGCCTTGTCCCTTGTCCCATGAAGTGCCCGTGCTCCCCTGCCCTCACGGGGCACGTGGGGTCAACAGCTCCACAGAAAGGTCACTCCAGGCAGCGCTGCACCCACGCTGTGGTTGCTGCCCTACTCTGGGGCACAAGGCCCGGCCTGCCGTGCCTGCAGGTGTACAGCTGCCATCCTGAGCAGGACAGGCACGCTGGGGCCAGGAATTTTAGGCTCAGAAGGCCGTGGTTACCATGGCAACAAAGAGGCCCAGGTTCCTAAAGGTACAGATGCAGATGAAGGCTCCAGGGGCTCCCAGGTGTGCGGGCCGGGCACATCTCGGGTCCAACAGCGACCCTCACAGCCACACCCCACAGGCATCATCAGAACCAGCACTTTACAAAAATATGCAAGACTTGAAGATAAGATGGAGCAAGTGGTGAAATACAAAACAACTTTATAGAGCTGAGTGGGCTGGGAAAAATATCTTATGCAAAACAGAAGTGGTGCAAGCTGCCAGCTCTGGTCCTGTGCTGCAGACATTCATTTGCTATGAATACTGTGAAAGCAAGTGAATACATATATTTAAATTTTTTATGTTGTATGTGATACATACAAAATATATGCAGTGTATAAGTAAGATATGAGGTATAATAACCAAATGAGCACTTGGGAGCCCAGTTCATCCCACAGGGCCACAACAGGAGCGTTTCTTCTCCAGGCCGGTCCCTTCGTCCCCCGGGTGCCTGGCATCCTCCCGCGCCTAAGCTTTCTGTTGGACGGTGGAGTGGCGCTCAAGCATTTGACCTGGGAGCGTCCTCTGGGCTACCGTGGGTATCTCTCTGGGGGTTTCCCTTTTGGTGGTCGTGGCAAAATGTCTTGTTCTGAAATGTTTTCAGACCAGAGCGCTTCCCTCCGGTCACCCTGACTCAGGCAAAGTTCTCTTTCCACGGCTTCTCCTCGCCTCTCCCGCTTCTCAGAGCGCTCAGGCCCTGCCGCTTCCCAGGGAGAGGACGCTCTGCGCGGAAACGAAGGACAGTGGTTCCCAAACCACATCTGCATTTAAAAGGTGCAGATATTTGAACTGCAAAATCCTCACTCAGTTCTGTACTTTTCGCAGGAATGTGCTCTAATATGTACTGAGCGTTTATTTACTAAATGCCTAGGCCTGTAAGCATTTTGCACTCATGAGCTGATTTATCCTTGTAACAATACTACACAGCATGTGTTACCTGTATTCCATGCCCAGGAGACTGAGGCACAGAGGAGGAAGTCACCTCCCCATGTGCAGAGGGAGGAAGGGGCAGAGCCAGGACCGAAGCCACTCACGATGTCCACAGCCCCCTGCCTTGTCCCTGCCCGCCCCTTACCATGTCCTCCTAACCATGCTGCACAAATGCCCCAGGCCGCCGCCACTACAAC